TATTTATAATATATATATATATATATATATAATAAAATATTATATCAATTTACATGGCTATGTGTCTTCCTTTGTATAGATTTGGTACTCTTTTTCTATTTTTTTCAAATTATATTTAATGAGTCAATTTCGAGTCAAACATAAGCAACAATATTTAAATCGAGTCGAACACAAACAGACTATTCACAGCTAATTCCGAAAACGAACATGAACCAAGTCTGACCTCGCTCAAACTCGACTCATTTACACCCCTAGTAAAAACTAATCAATTTATTGAATTCTATCATTCAATTAAATCAAAATAAAATTAATTGAATTTCATTTTTTTTTCATATTCACAATACTGAAAACAGATAAAAATGAATAGTTTCTATCTTTTAACCCCATTTTTTTATCCACAAGCACTCGGTAGGTTACCCCAATTTTACTTTTAGCGCTTCCCAAGGTCCACCTGTCAAAATTTCCAACCAATCGCAACACACTATGTGGCATGACGATGAACTCCCTGGAAACCTTAGCATTTTCAACTCCTCGCAAGCCAGCCACGTACTTAAAAATAAAAGGGCATTTTCGTCCACAAGAAGTTATAAATTTGCCCTAGCAGCTCAAGCTGCCTGGCATCGCCTCTCTCCATCTCGAGCTTTCAACATTCTCCGTTCAACCTCCGACCATTTTCCGACGAGGGAAATACCATCTCCGGCGTGAATGACGAATAGGATCTACCCCAAATCTCACGCATTCGAATCAACAAAATACGCCATCTCCACCACCGCTGACATCCAATGTCCTCCTCCGTCACCGCCACCTCCGGCGACCCTCACAGTATGGAGAAAATCGCTTCTCTTCAACTGCAAAGGCTTCACCGTCTTTGATGCCGAAGGAAATCTCGTCTTCCGCGTTGATAAATATGATAGATCTGACAAGGGAGAGATAGTCCTCATGGACGCTGCTGGAAATCCCCTTCTCACAATCCGTCGAAAGGTAAAATCCAAGAAATCGAGACTCGATTCTATTAAATATTCATGGGGTTTAATTAAATCGGGAAATCGGATTACCTGAATTTGTTTTCCGATTGTAGAAACTGAGTTTGGGAAAGCACTGGGAGATCTATGACGGCGAGGAGTCGGTGAATCCGCGGTTCTTGGTGAGGAAGCACGTGAACTTCTTGCAACTTAAATCAATGGCGCATGTGACGAGTTCCGATGGTGGGCTGGTGTACGAGATCGAGGGATCGTATACGCAGCGTTCCTGCGCGGTGTATGATGAGAGGCGAATCGCGGTGGCGGAGATCCGGCGAAAGGAGGAGGTAAGTGGGGTGGATTTTGGTCTAGACGTTTTCCGGCTTATTGTTCAGCCGGGGTTTGATGCCGCTGTGGCCATGGCTTTTGTTGTTTTGCTTGAAGAGATGTTTGGATCTAGAAGTTTGGCTATCTCGACCCGATGAAATTTTCGGTGAAAAAAGAGAATTAGGGTTTCGGTTTTGTGCCATTTTTTGCTTCTTCTTGTTCGAGAAGAGATTACAGTGTAAAGAGATCCAGCTCGGCTTCCATTGGTGTTTGTAATATATTTCGCTGGCAGCATCGAGCAGTGATTTTGTATATTCTGATTTCAAAAAAAAAAAAAAATTGAAAAAGAAATATAAGTTTGCATCTTTAAATGTACCAGTGATTGATGGTTTTTCGAACTCATTTGGTTGCTTGAATTTAGAAAATAATTTGAAAAATATAAGAATTGATTGTATCAAGCTAAAAAAAATTCATCTTCACACTCAAATAAATAAAATTAAAATTTTTAATTCTAAAGATGTACATTCACACTCAATTTGTAATTCTAAAGTTAAAATTAAGGGGTTGATTGAATTTAGACTCAGTAAATTCTGTAAGTTCAAGTTTACTTAAATCATGCAAACAACAAGATTGAAAGGAATTGAGAAGAAATTGAATTTATTAAATTCCGGATTTAAAAGTTGTTATTTTTTTTCTCTTTGATAAGATTTCAATCAAATACAACTTAAATTTGTTATTATAGAGCCCTTCAACTAAAAACTAATTTAAAGTATCTATACATTAAAATCGCAATTCAAAATAGTCAGGAAACATCAAATTGAATCACAAACATTGATTTTAATTCAAATTGAACTTTAGATCTTGCTCAAAAGATTCCTGAATTAGGGTTTGAAGATCAGCTCAGATTGGACTTCCCAGCGATCGTAGTTTTTATTGTCAAAAGAATGATTGAGGGAACTTGTTCGCAGCCAAACTCACTCACAACGTCGCAACAAGTTTAATCTTACATTTTATATGTAATTCTCCAATGATTTCAATTCTATAACATCAATTGTAGTTCTCAAATTGTTTAAGTTTTACACTTTATATGTAATTGTCCAATGATTTCAATTCTATAACATCAGTTATAATTTTTATCTATAAATTGGAGGTCACAAGATAGACTCAAATATAGAAAACTATTACAAATTTTTTCTCTTATAATTTTTTTATTGAGTCATTTTTATAGAGAGTGACCAATGCCTAATTTTCCTGTCTCACATATTAAATTGGATGCATTCATCCAGTCAATTTCTTATGTTCGTCCACAAATGAGTTTAGAACCAACGAACAAACATTTTCATTCTAAAATCAACCAAATGAGCCATGTGAGTAATTAGACTTTACTCGATGAAAGTTGGTCGTGAATTTTTGTGCGTCTTAAGACTCGATTGAATTAGACTCCATAATTTTCTTTCTTGATTTTTCATATAAGAATATTTTTTTAAAGTAATCTCGTAAGAAATTTTATTCATCAAAACAAAATACTACAAGATGGTGGCTAACGATTCTACTAAAACCCTCAAAAACTGCAACTCATGCAAGAAATACAAAGCTTAAGAACCGTTAGCCACAGTACAACTCACGCAACAAACGAAAAGCTAACTAAAATCAAATATTAATACAAATAAAGGCAATATTTAAACTATCATCTTTAAACAAACAAGAAAGCTCCAACGAAACCTTATTAGTAAATTCGAAATTTGGGACTCCAAGACTTTTCTCGCAGCCCAATCAACATATTGATTACCGTCACACTGAATAAACGACCACTGAACCTGCACTAAATTCATGAGAGCAAAAATTATTTTCAGCTGAATAATAAGAATCCATTCTCGCAGCCCAATAAACATATTGATTACCTTCACATTGAATAAACGACCGGTGAACCTGCACTAAATTCATATGAGCAAAAATTATTTTCAGCTGAATAATAAGAATCCACGGGTAATCTCTTCTCCTGCATCGGTAATTCCACAAATCAAGTGAATCCATTTCAATAATGATATTATCTCATCCGCAACTAACCATAATTTTCAATGCAACATTAAAAATATTATTCCTCATACGAGCTAACTTTTATTTACCGTGTGCATGATTTTCATTCAACGTTAAAAAATAATTTGTCTCTATAGTTATGAACCTTCAAACATGCAAAAAAAAAAAAACTTCTATTAAGTGACAAATTGAAGCCAATTGTGTACCAATCGATGTTTGTCATTTTCACCATATGATATTCCTTAGAGCAAGTGCTGTTGCCATTATGAATTCTTGTACAAGTCTTGCATTGTTTAAGAAGTAAATTGTGGTGCTCAAACATACTGAATAAAATCAAGATTATTAAATGAATGGCATGAGATTATTGACATTCGCACATTTTTTTAGCCATTCCTTTAACTGGTATCAATATTTAATTTAGATTATGGATTGAGAAAAGAAAGTGCTTTTAAGTATTCTAAAAGCAAGGTTCTTTTTTTATTACAATAAGTGCGGGAAGAAAATAAATGCAAGAAAAAAAGGTGTGGAGTATTTCTTCTTGAATGATGTTTGTGGAGATCAATTTTGGGAGGGCCCAAATAAATCTTTTTAGTGGAGATAATGAAACTCATTGATTGCTAACATTATTCGAAATGTATGAAAGATGACAAGTAATAGATTCTTGATTTTATGATTTCACATGTTTTTAAAATTTATATTGATTTGCATGAATCTCGATGTATATTTAGATTATAAGTTTCAAGAATAAAATTTAAAAATGTCCACACTTTAATTTATGATCAAATAAAGTGTCTCGAAATAACAAAATAAATGACATCAAAAATAGGCCTACTTGAGTCAAGGTGAACAATAATGCACTTAAAGTATAATAAGAGACTTTCAAATATATTTTGAGAAATCAAATGATTTTCAAATCTAATAAGTTCATGGTTAAATTGAGTGTCTCGACAAGACCAATCCAACAAGCCTAATATCACTTAATTCAGGTATCATTGAGCTGTTCAAATACTCATGAAAGTACATATGATCAAGGGAATTATTCTGGGACATATGATGCAGTTGTCTAGATTCATGTTGTAATTAAAGTGAATGTCACTTCTAAAATCTATAAATAGGTTCTCATGATGGTCTGAACTTGGAGGAGAAATCTGAAGGAGATCTCCAAGCTCATGAGGGTTCTCTAGCTCTGCTACTGTCGTACCATCGTCGTCAGGTCACTGCCATCGCATTCATCACCGTTGAACTATCGTTGTTTGGACATTGCAATCATTATCGTTGGACCACCAACCTCGGTCGCTACCATCACCGGTGTAGCCAGGCCACTACTGTCATATCAACCATCTTTGGGTTGCCACCACCCCATACCACCAACATCGTCACCGCCAGACCACCATCGTCGAGCCGCAGCAATCATCGAACCATCATTACCAAACCACCATCTTCATTGCCACTGGACCACCGCAAATTGTTCGCCTTCAATGTTGAACAACTGTTGCATGACCACCATTGTCTTCACTGCCAGACTAAAATTGTTCGCCAACTACCATCGCCAAACAACTACTACCTCGCCACTACCATCGCTGCCACCAGACCATTGTTATCTAGTGGTCTTCGTCATCATGCCACTGATGCCTGACCACCAATAACATGGTTGTCGAACCACAGTTGTTTGGTCTTCGTTACCGTTGCTCAGCCACCCCCATTGATGTCGTCAAACCACTGTCGTATGGCCACCACCACCATCGGACCACCGCTGCCTAGTAACCATCATGATGCCAGTGGACCACCACTGTTAGGTCCTAGACCACTGCTTAACCATTGCCATCGGATACCACCGTTCGGTCACCGCTGCTGATGACATTGGCATCAATTTTTTTAGCGCACGACCTTTACCGACAGTCTTCCTTCACAATAATTGGGTCTCCCCATCGCACTTTGTCACTCCCATAGTGGAACTCAGATCAATATCACCCAGTGGAAACACTTCAATTGAGCAAGATCTCATAATTTTTAATTTTTTGAGTTTTTCAAGTAAAAATGTGTTTTTTTTTTCTCTGTGGTCATTTTTTTTTAAATATATGCGATGAATCTTCGTACAATACTATGATGTTAATATTTCACTCTACCACCGTGAATCTGCTACACTCAACATGTTTTATACAAAACTTTAAAAAATTAAAAGAAAAAGATTTATACAAAACTAGAGAGAGAGGCAGTGACTTTTGGGATCACTTTTTTTTTCTTTTTGGGGCATTTACATAAATTCCACACATTTTTTCTCGTATTTGCATATCTAACACACCATTTTTCTCGTATTTGCATATCTAACACAAAACTTTATTATTTATATTCATGGCACTTAAATCTTTAACATCACATAAACAATATCACTTATATTTTCCTTATATTTTATTTATCTTTAAATTTATGATAAAATATGTTTATCATAGTGAAAATAAATAGATTCTTTTTTAAAAGCACTCATTTAAAATATTTTTTTAATTTTCGAATCATTTTTAAAAAAGTTGGTTTATTTTAAAAATTAAAAAATTAAAATATATAATATATAAAATAAAGTAAAAAATAATGCATATGCAATGCGAGTAATTAGACGTCACGCCATGAGAATTACTTGTGATTTTTTTTTTATTCTAATTTTCTTTATTGATTTCTCATATAAAAACTTTATTCATCCTACGAGCAAATTTCATTTATCATGTGCATGATTTTCGTTCAATGTCTAAAAAATAATTTTAATCTCTATAGTTATGAACTATGAATCTTCTAACATGCAAAAAAAAGCTTTATTAGATGACCAAATGAAGCCAATTTAAGGCATGCTTTTGCTTGGTTGACTTGTTTACACCAATTGTGTACCAATCAATGTTTGTCATTTTCACCATATGGTATTCCTTAGAGCAAGTGCTGCTGCCATTATAATTTCTCATACAAGTTTTGTTGTTTAGAAAGTATAATGGTGGTGCTCAAAAATATTAAATAAAATAAAAATTATTAAATAAATGGCCTGACATTATTGACATTTACGCATTTTTTAGCCATTCCTTTAGCTAGCATACATATTTTATACATATTTAATTTAGATGGTGGATGAGAAAAAAGGTACTTTTAAGTATTCTCAAAGCAAAGAACTTTTTTTATTTGTTCAAGTGCATTAAAAAAATAAATATAAGAAAAAAGCTGTGGAATATTTTTTTCTTGAAAGATGTTTGCAGAGAGGAATTTTATTTGTCAATTTAAAAAATTCTTTATAGTGGAGATGATGAAAAATGGACATCTCAT